GGACCAGCCACCAATAAACCGTCCCCGCCTCTAGCAAAGGCCAAGCCCATCAGCGACAGTGGTAGCACCTCTGGGGTAACGTATTTAAGAAGGGGAAAAAAATCCCACCACGCAGCATTTGCAGCTGGAGAGAGGCATAAGAATATGCGAAAACAACTCTGCAGACACCAAGGTCAGTGGAGAAAGGCGGGGAGGAGATGCTCCAGGCACCAGAACAGAGGTTCCTCTGCAGCCCCTGGTGAAGCCCATGGTGAGGCAGGCTGTGCCCCTGCAGCCCATGGAGCTCCACGCTGGAGCAAATATCCACCTGCACCCAGGGAGAATCCCATGCCGGAGCAGGGGGATGCCCAAAGGAGGCTGAGACCCCGTGGGAAGCCCATGCTGGAGCAGGCTCCTGGCAGGACCTGTGGCCCTGTGGGGAGAGGAACCCAGGCTGGAGCAGGTTTGCTGGCAGGACTTGTGATCCCACAGAGGCCCAGGCTGGAGCAGCCTGTTCCTGAAGGACGGCACCCGTGGGGGGACCCAGGCTGGAGCAGCTCGTGAAGAACTGCAGCCCGTGGGAAGGTACTCACGTTGGAGAAGTCTGTGGAGGACTGTCTGCTGTGGGAGGGACCCCACGCTGGAGCAGGGCAGAGTGTGAGGAGTCCTCCCCCTGAGGAGGAAGGAGCAGCAGAGGCAACGTGTGGTAAGACTGACCACAACCCCCATTCCCCATCTCCCTGTGCCCCTCGCAGGGGGAGGAAGACAAATTGGGACTGAAGTTGAGCTTGGGAAGAATGGAGGTGTGTGGGGAAAGTGTTTTAAGATTTGGTTTTAGTTCTCATTATCCTACCCTGATTTTGATGGGGAAATTAATTTATTGACAAAGACAAGTCTGTGTGGCCCATGACAGTAATTGCTGACTGAGCCCTCCCTGTCCTTTCCTCGACCCACAAGCTTTTTACTATATTTTCTGTCCCCTGTCCAGCTGAGAAGGGGAGCCATAGAGTGGCTTTGGTGTGCACCTGGCACCCAGCCAAGGTCAACCCACCACACTCATTCAAGACAACTTTTGTTTACACAGTCTGAAAAAAGGTTGTAACCAGCATCTTATGATAATTACACTCTTAATCCAATGCAGAATGCTGTTTGAGAGCTATAACATGTATGAGAGCGGTCTGGTCAGGGTAGCTGTGAGGACTGGTGGCAGCTGGTCACCTGTAGGACATTGTGTGTCTGCAGTCCTCAGACCTCTCCACACAGTCACTTCTGAAACACGCACTCAGTTCTCCCCAGGAAAAGCCTTAACGCTTGCAAAAGGCAACTCGCTGAATTTCTGACTGGAACTTTTAACAACTGTTCTCTGGACAATTCTCAGAGTCCCATTTAAAACGCAGGACAGATAGTAAACAGCAAACTTACATTAGTCCCAGTCTCTCGCCAATCCCAGGTTCGGCTTCCTCCTGGCCATACTTTGCAGTCCTTATACGTCGTAGAGCAGCCTTTCACCTTCATCTGACCCCAAGAAAGGGAAGCAATTTCAGGGGAAGACATTGCAAAGTTGAAGCAAAGTCTGGAAAAAGGATATTTAATACATAACATCAGGCCAACATATGCAGCATGTTAATAAAAGAAGAAAGTTCTGTCCTTGCCCCAAGGAGCTGGGAAGGAAATGCTATCGACAGACTTTATCCACGTGATTTTGTGATAACAGAACTGAACTGAGGATCAGCAGATTTGTTGAATTATCAGTCCTCTTGGGGATTTTGTGCAGGATTTTGTGCAAATCATTTTACATGCTAAATCTGTACAAGTATTGGGTGCTCAACTTTTAAAACTATCAACAGGTCCCAGAATATCCTATCACATCTGGCTTTTATTCTTCTCCCTAAGATGCGCAAAGATGATAATAATTTCCTAAAACATTGGAGAGATATGTTGTTTCTTTGGCTGCTTTATTAATTTAAAGTGGTAAATGAGGTTAAAAAAAACGCAAACAACCCAACCCAACAGAAAAGCCACGAACAAGACAATGCCATTGCCATATTGCTATAGCACTCAAGACTTTCAGAGACCTATCGGGGTCAAGCCTTCTTTCCCT